GGAGGGGGGCAGGTGTACAGAGGAGGAGACAGAAGTGGGGGGGGGGCAGGTGCACAGGGAGAGGAGAGGGAGATGGGGAGGGGCAGGACTGAGTGAGCTCCAATGGAGACGGAGGAGTGGCCAGAAGGACCCGTTCAGGGTAAGTGGTGATGGGAAGAGACTTGAACACAATACCATGTACAGACGATATTCTGGAATTCTGCACCGTCAACAAATAGATCACCATTAACCACTGTCACCCCGATCAATTCCATAAACAGAACCTTCTCCCCAATGTCCTGCTGCTGTACCCACACGCTGGCCTGTTCCCTTCGCCCTTTACCTCTGCGTACGCCTCAATCCCCAGTCGGATGACTTCCCGCATGCTGGCCAGCATCATCAGCTCCACCTGCTGCAGCCACTTCTCCACCATGCCCTGGGCGAGACGGGCGGGGTCAGCCCCGGGCAGAGGCCCAGCAGAGCCAGCGTCCCCCCTGAACAGGGCTGGAGGGAGGCCAGGGTGTGCTTTGCTCCCCTGGGGGTTCAGAACCAGCCACCCAAGACGTGCCTCATGGTGTGTGGCTTACTTTTTTAAATATATTTATTGATTTTTTATATATTTTTTAAATATTTATTGATTTTTTACAGAGCGGAAGGGAGAGGGATAGAGAGCTAGAAACATTGATGAGAGAGAAACATCGATCAGCTGCCTCCTGTACACCTGCTACTGGGGATGTGCCCGCAACCAAGGTACATGCCCTTGACCGGAATCGAACCTGGGACCTTTCAGTCCGCAGGTTGACGCTCTATCCACTGAACCAAACCAGTCAGGGCTGGTGTGTGACTTATTTTGAGCTAAAGGCAAGATCCTGCAAGTTCAGGAGAAACTTCTGCCCCCACCTTAATTATCTGGAAGAATTTAAATCAGGAGCCTGGCCCAGATGAGGACTGCCAGCAATGACTTCTTCCCTCGCTCTGCGGCTGGGCAAGCTGCCCGTCACCGACCTCCTGCAGCCCGAGGCACCCACCTAGCCTGTCCCCACACTGTCTCCGAGCTTCTCACATACGTGGGCTCTCTGACTCTCACATGTGGGCTTAGATTTGATTATTTTCTCCTCTTAATCTAGCTTATGTTTATTTCATTACAGACCAGCTGACACCTTGAGGGTAGAGGAAACCTTCCCCCCACACTCCCCTTTGAGCCAATATTTTTTAACTATTTGTTTTATGTTATTTCCTGTGTTCTCGGAAGTGTGTGTCTTGTAAAAGGTGCAATAAGGGGTTTTAACATGCATTTCTCTCATATCATTTTCTGAAACAGATAACGTCTCAGGAGGAAATGGCATTTCTATTTCAGTTAATAAAGTACACTGGTTTCTAACGAACAGTTTTAGTTGTTTCCTTATTCCTGTGGTTCCCAAACTTGCTGTGCCCTGGGACGATCTGGAGACGAAAAACCCAAACCCAAACCAGGCACAGAGGCCTGCCTCCTGCCCCAGCGGGTTCCAGGGTGGGACCTGGGGTGGAACTTGGGCATCTGGTTTCCTTCAAAGCCCCACAGGTAACTAACATGCAGCCAGTCACCGGGTCCCACAATTCCCGCCTGTGGCTGCTGGCTGCTGGCTGCAGCTGCTGAGCCAGCTGGGGTTCGGGTGGCAGAAGCAGCCACGACGGCAAGGGGAGGTGAGGGTGCCCCAGGCCATGCGCGCTGTCCCTCCGGTGGGAGCGGAAGCGGGTCCCACTTACTCCGTGTGCAGGACACGTGCGTAAAGCTCGGTGTTAAGTGGCATTGACTACACGCTTCACTGAGCTTTGAAGACACCTGCCCAGCCAGCTGTCTAACCGAGTCACTTTGAACCGGGCTCTGCCCACGGGAATCTGGACGCACCCGCCTGGATCTGACTCCTACGCCTGCCTCCACGTCACCTCTGGGTAAAGACCTCCCACAGCTCGGTGTGCACACGAGGCATGCTTCCCAGTGCGGAGACGGGCAGATGGGGCCCTGGAAGGGGGCTCCCTCCCGTCCCCAGTCATCAAGCTGTGGAACCCCATGCCCCCCAGGGACCGAGCCAGGCCCGCAGGCCGCAGCAGTGTCTCTGCCTCTGCCCTGCTGGCTGCGGGGAGAGAGCGAGCACGGGAGGGGCTTGCCTTGGCGTGAGCCGGGTAGATGATCTGCTTGAAGGGGACGGTCTCCTTCTCCGAGCTGATCATGCCCACGATCTCCAAGTCGTCGGTGAACTCCAGCCTGGCGATGCCCTCGAAGCACTTCTTCAGGTGCGGCTGCACGCGGAGCGGGTCCTTGGTCTCCGACAGGATCTCCAGCAGCTCGTCGTTCGACAGGAAGAAGAACCTATTCCAGAGCAAGAAGCAGGCAGCTGAGTCCCTTCCCAGACTCCCTTCCCACGGGCTCTGCTCCCCACAGGGAGGGCCCCGCAGACCACTGTGTGGGTCTTCTCTGAGGACACTCCCGCACCAGGTCCAGCTGCGGCAGGGAGGACGGGGAGGAGCTGGACTCTGAGAGCAAGAGAAACCACGAGGCGAGGCTGGAATATCTGCATTCAACAGGGCGGGGCTGGGGTGGGGCTTCCTTGGCTCCTGGCCTCGGCCGCATTCAGAATCACCTCTGGCCTTGCCCTGAAATTCTAATGCCGAGGCTCTACTGCAAAGATCCATATAGAACTGACCTGGGTTGGGTCTGGGAATCTGCATATTTTAAAACCCCAGGGAGGGGTGGTAGAAGAGGCTGCAGAGGGGAGATAGATAAGTGGAGACAGAATGAGCCTGGACTTCGGTGGTGAACACACAATACAACGCACAGATGATGGTTATGGAATTGTACACCTGAAGCCTGTGTAATGTTACTAACCGCTGTCACCCCGATGCATTCAATTACAAAGTAAAATAAACCCCGGTGACTCCTGCGCGGTCCATGCTGAGGGCCCCCCGGGAGGAGACAGGCGCTGTCCTTTCCTCGTCTCCAGGCGTGACAGGTGTAGAAGGGAAGCACATGTTAATAACGCACTTACTTCATGCAGCGCCTTTATCTTGTTTGAAATGACAAATAATAACCCCTGTCCAGTGTGCTCAGTGGTTAGAGCATCGGCCTGCCCCCTGAAGGGTCTCAGGTTCGATTTCTGGTCAAGGGCATGTACCTGGGTTGTGGTTTGTTCCCTTGAGCCCCCGGGAGGCAGCCTCGGTCTCTCTCTCTCTCTCTCTCTCTGTCTCTCTCTCTTCTCCCTCCCTCCCTACCTTCCTTCCACTCTCTCAGAAAAGCAATGGAAAAAAACATACTCATGTGAGGATTAAAAATAGAATTTTTAAAATGTACAAATAATACAATCGCTTCATTCTCTTGCTTTGGCCTAAAGGCAGCCACCACAAACCTTCAGAAAATGTTTAAGGAACAAACTCTACAGTAACCACTAGGCTGAAAGGTGCATAATTAAGGGACCATATGATTAGCGTCTTCACTGTATAGGATGGATTACAAAAATGGCCACAGTATTTGCACTTAACCTCATGCTGAGTGCTTATATTTATTCCATAAAAAGGCATACAGAGATACTGAAATGTGCATGTGTTTCACTTAGAAAGAAAATGAGGCTCAGAGAAGGTAAATATCTCATCCAGACAACCTGGAATTGAATGCTAGCTTTTCCACTTACCAGTACTGTTTTTTCACAAGTTACTGTTTCCTCATTTATAAGGTGGAGATAAAAATAATAGTTCCAAGTTAATAACACGAAGCACTCAGAGCACGTCCTGAACACGGTAAGTACTGTGCTTGCATTTTATGAGGAACAGCAGTCATGGCTATAGGACCAGAAGCCCAAGTCTTAGAAATGTCCTCTGCCCAAGTTCTGTGCTTTCAAATAGAGGTTCCTTATCTGTGTTATCCAATACTAAAGGCATTAGACACCGGTAGGGGTCATGCAGGAGGCAGCTGATCAATGATTCTCTCTCATCATTGATGTTTCTGTCTCTCCCTCTCTCTTCCTTTCTGAAATCAATACAAATATATATTTTTAAAAAGAATACTAAATAAATTAAAAATTTCCTTCTCAGTTACACTAGCCACATTTAAAGTGCTGGATAGCCACATGTGGCTCACAGTTACTGCACTGGGCAGCACATGTGTAGGTAGAACATCTGTCAGTGAGTCAAGTTCTACTGGACAATACTGCCTTAAGTAGACGCTAAGGACATTTCTGAAACCTAAACAACCCACTTTTTGGGGTGGAAAGCAGAGAACTAACTTTGTCTCCATGTAGGGGACACTAAGGTGTGAGTTCCTTAAAGGCAAGTTAGATCAAACTTGTATCCTAATTAGAATCAAGTGCCACGGGGCGACCATGCATGGTCAGCGAGACGTGACAGATGGTCGGGGTGAGGACCCTCCTTCCTGGGACCAGCCTTGCCTGTATGCGGAAGAACATTGATTCTTGTGGAAAAAAGAGTCAAATATTTATAAACATACCTACCAGAAACACAACATTCACCAGCCAAACTCTTAGCTGGCAGTGCTCGAGCACGTGGTCGGGGAGCTGGCTGCTTTACATGCGTTGTCGCAATTGAAATGCACAGCAGGTGCAGGAGGCAGGGCCTTGTCCCATCTCTCCTACTGGGAGAACTGCGGCTGGGATGCCTCAGAGCGGAAGAGCTGGGACTCACACTAAGGGCTGTTCAACCCCAAGGTCCGGGCCCATAAGCACGATGGTGATACTCCCCTGGGCGGGTATTGACCATGTTGGTCGGCCAAAGTGTGGAGTTGGCCCCTGGTGCCCATTCAACCTCCCTCTAAGTAACAGTCATGAGCACCCTCAGCCCTGAGAGCTGTCTCAGGGAATGGGAAACCTGGAAAGAACATGGACCAGATAGGAGCCAACTCGCAGCGTGAAAACTTTCATCCCACTACGTACGGGTCAGGAAGGCCACTCCAAACCCAAGGGCAGTAACGAGTACCTGGGGAAAAACAGCCTCTTCTTCTCCAAGTAATCGTTCAGCCCCCTCTGGATGTCCTCCAGCAGCGTGTTGGCTTCTTGGAGCTTCTCAGCCATGCGGGGCTGGTCGGCCGCCATCAGGACCCTGGGATCCTTCACCTGGTTCCGCCAGAGGACAGGACTCACCGGGGGCTCCCAGACCCCGAGAGCCATCATTACATGAGGGTGTGACCAGTGCCTCAACTGAGGATGCCCTACCAGCAAAGTGTCTCCCAGCCCCAAAGGGAGAGCGCTCAGATAGCAGCGCCCTGCTCCTCCGGCTGGGGTTGACTGGGACGGGGTTGGGCAACTGAAACCAACCAAGCCAACGCTATTTTCACTGCTAGGCTTTGGAATTCAGATGAGGACACCCTCAATCGTGTGGCTGGCCCCTGAAGCTGCGTGCAGATCAGCTTCCATGCTGTGACCGGGGTGGAGCACGCCGGCCTGCAGGAGGGAGGAAGCCAAGCCGGCACGGAGAGGGCACTCCAGGGTTTCCTGCGGACCGCTGGGCCCAGAGCTTCCGTTATACACGTCCCGCCCGCGGGTTCCACGGGACACTGTTCGGACTTTCTGTTTGCGCTGCCTGGAGGGTTTCCATTACTTGCAACCCAAACTCTCAGCTAATATGAGGTCAGAGGAAGCAGGATATGCAAAGTGGCTCTGATGGCCGAGTGACATAAATTACCACTTAACTCATCCCTACAAACAGCCGGGCAGGTGAGCTCCCTTGAGACAAATTCTTTATAAACGCGCCCCAATTTGAGCACACTTGCCTTCCAAAAGGAAAAAAATTCATCTCCCTGATACCGTCCACCCAGCGCACTCACACTTTGGGGCTCGTTCCCAGTGTCATCCCCTGGAGGCCTCTCTGACGTGCCCAGGGCAGTGAGTCACTTTTCTGCCTTCTAAAATCTTGGTGCGTAACGTCCATTATAGCTCTTATGTATCTAAGTCTGTCTCCTCACAAAGCAGGGTATCTATGAAGGCAGATGTCATATTCTTGTCATCTTCAAGTACACTGTCTGGGTCCAAGTAGGTACTGAATAAACATTTGTTAAATATCCACATAACTGAATATGGACAATCATTTGAATTCTGAAAGGATTCTCAATCTGTAAAAGCTTTACCGGCAATAAACAGTCTTCCCCTCGCGGAATGACAGCTAAGTTACACAACTGCTAGAGCTCACCTCTGGGGAGGGGGAATATCATGGCCTCCATTTTCTACATTACATATACCCACGTTTAAACTTTTAATAACAACTTTTGAAATTGGAAGAAATATACAATATTAAATTTGCAAAACTCTAGGTTACTGACAAGTTTTAAGGGGCCTGGCGACAACACACAATGAGGAGCATCTGTGTGGCAGCCCGCTCCCGCCCTGAGAGGTGCCGGGAGCGGGGAGCTTACCGCTTGGGACATGAGGGATTTCCAGTAACCGTCCACGATGGCAAACTTCCTGCCCTCTTCTGGCATCTGGGCTGTGATGTCCTCGGAGCTGAAGATCGGTTCCAGGTACAGCCAGGTGGCTTGGCATTTCAACCAAGCATCCAAAATGTCCTGCACGCGGACTAGCTTTTCTTCCCACTTCTGCGAATTTAGCATTTTATATCTGAGTCAATAACTTGCCACCCCGCATCGCACAACTGTTTATTCACTCATTCCCTTGTTTAACAAGCACTGTTGAGTGCCCCTATGTTCTGGTCACCTTCCAGGCAATGTGGATACAGCAATGAGTGAAACAAGGGAGTCCTTGCCCTCATGGAGCTTGCATTCTGGTGGAATAATGGTGACACCAATAATAATGATCATATATTACTATTGTATATAACTAGAGGCCTGGGATTCCCTCAACCTGGCCTGTGCGTTCTTGCAATCTGGGTGTCCTCGGGGTATGTCCAACTGATGGGGAGCGGGCCTAAGCCGTCTGTCAGACATCCTTGGTGCTACACTCGCCAGGCGTGAGCCCAGCTTCTGGCTGAGCAGTGCTCCCCCTGTGGGAGCACACTGACCACCAGGGGGCAGCTCCTGGGTTGAGTGTCTGCCCCCTGGTGGTCAATGCACATCATAGCGACCGGTTGTTCTGCAGTTCAGTCGATTTGAATACTAGCCTTTTATTATATAGGATTATCCTATAAAATAAAAGAGGAACATGCAAATTAGCCATTCCTCCACTATGCTCAAGCCACACCCAAGCCACACCCACCAGCCAATGAGGAGTGAATATGCAAATTAACCCAACAAAGATGGCAGATAATTTGCATACATAGAGCAGAGTAGGAGAGCCAGCAGTTTGGGGGGACATGGCTCCCTGGGTCAGAGAAAAACCAGAGTGTGGCGAGCACCAGGAATTCTGGGAATAGTAGTTTTGGTGGCAGCCCCAGGACCGGAAGCAGAAGCCCAGAGTGCGGGGAGCACCAGGAATGCTGGGAATCATAGTTCTGGTGGCAGATGGAGCTCCTAGACACTAGAGCAGTGATGGCCATCCTATGACATGCGTGTAAGAGGTGACATGCGAACTAATTTTTTGGTTGATTTTTCTTTGTTAAATGGCATTTAAATATATAAAATAAATATCAAAAATATAAGTCTTTGTTTTACTGTGGTTGCAAATATCAAAAAATTTCTATATGTGACACGGCACCAGAATTAAGTTAGGGTTTTTCAAAATGCTGACACGCCGAGCTCAAAAGGTTCACCATCACTGCCCTAGAGCAAAGTGAGCCTGGAGCAAGTTACTGTTGTGATTGGGATGGAGGGAAAGCAAAGGTGAGAGACATAAGTAAAATCAGAGCATCTAGGAAAAATTAAAGGGAAGATATCCTAAAACTTCCAGAAATCTCCACCAATGAAGCAAAGAAAAAAAAATGCCTCTATTATTCTGTGAGCAACAAACCAAACTGGGTTGGGGTCTCAGACAATTTGTTCATATGATTGCAAAGACAGACGGAAACTCCCGGATTGGAGAGGGCTCCCCTGAGGGCTCCCAGATTGGAGTGGGTGCAGGTCGGACTGAGGGACCCCCTCCCCCACGTCCCCCCCTACTAGTGCACAAATCTTCCTGCACCAGGCCCCTAGTTATTACTATAACCAGGGATGGGCTGAGTGCTTCATGCATGTGAAAACTAACTTAATCAGGTAGTTTTATGATGGAAGCGTTACCACACCTCCCACTTTACAAATGCAGAAATGGAGACACAGTGTAAGAGCCTTGCCCAAGGTTAATAAGCAGGGAGCCAGAATTTGAAACCAGGGAGTCTGGCTTCAGGAGCTTTGCCCTTAGCCTATGCTGTAGGACACAGTGAGCCACATGCCTACCCTCCGGCAGGTTACGTTCAAGAGTACGCTAGCTTGGCTGACACGCACATACTTTCCAATGCATTCTTACTTGGTACATTCAAACCATCTCACGTTTCCTTTTGGCAGACGTGCACAGGCTCAGCACACGACATGCTTACTTGGATGGTTCGTGCTTTTAGTCACGTGTTACTTTTTTCCGAGCAGGAGACAATAAATTTTTTTGTTAGATGAACTTAAAAACCTTCTCCCTCCTCCTCCGAGAAATCAAGAGCCACCCGATGTCACAAACCGCCCCCTTTCGCCTTACCCGGCACTCGGCTTCTATTGGCCTGATGAAGGGGGAGCCGCACATGGTCTGTGTCTTTATCACGTGGTCGTCGAGGAGTAGCTGAATGTCATCCACGGCACACAGGATGCTCATGTCCTGCAAACACACACCCGCCTGTCAGAGCCACGCGCGGGCCGACACACAGGCACGGAGCCCCGAGCTCCGCCCGGGGGTTGGGGGGCAGGAACCTGTGTCTTACGGGGATGGAATTTCTATTTTCTTCCTTGAAAATGTTCTTAAAGACACAGACTTTCCATCTCCGTGGCAGAAATCACATCGTGGCCCAAGCCCAGAGCTCTGCCCTTCCCTGTGCTCCCACCTTCTGCCCTTCGCTCTCCTGCCGCCCACAGGGGCCCTGCCCAGCAGCTTGGCTGGGCCTACCTGGTGGTTCTCAAACTGTGTGCCAAGGAGCCCAGGGCACTGCAGTGAACTCACAGCAAATCACTGGGAATGTTTAAAAAGAAAATACAAATGTGTTTCTTTCCATTTGTGGATGAAAGGGGCCACGTGCTAACCTGACAGGCTCAGGGGAGGCTGCATGGCGGTCCTGCAAACTCAGACCTAAAGTCACCACAAAGGATGGTCTGAAATTAAACTTAAACTAAAAGCAGTTATGGTGGGCAGTCACTCCTAGGCCGGTATCTTCACTGACAAGGTCAACCTTTACCTTAACTGGGCCTATGTCTCTTTTTGCATCTTTGATAACATACCCTTAAAATGTCTGGGTAACTTGTAACTTCCCTTTTTCTGGACCCCTTGGGGCACAACCTAATGTGCTGGGCGCCAGGACAGAGACCACAAATCCCTTCATTATCATGTTAATCGATCCTGCACCCACCTAAGTATGTGTCCATCATTTTACTTCTATCCAATCCAGGCCCACCCCCTGTTTTGCTTTCTCCCGCCTCTCTAGTCTATCACCAGTGACTTCATGTACCCCACCTCCGTCCCTCTTTGATTGCATGTGTAAATACAGAGGTGACCGCCATTCTCCGGAGCACTATACCGCTCCTCTGAGGTCCTGCTTCCCAGCAATCGTCGACAGTTTGGCTCAAATAAACTCACAAAAACTCCTTACAGGTTTGAATGTTTTACGTTAACAAATTTCTATGTATTTTTTCAAACAGTGAAGGTGACAGGACACGGATATTACTGTTTGAACCTAATTACGTAACAACAGAGCTGTGAGCTATTTCTTTTGTTCTGGGGAGGGGAAGCATGAAGAAAGTACGACATTCATGACACAAAAGGCAACAGGAACCAAGAAAGTTCGGGAGCCTCTGCCAGTGCGTTTCTGGGCCACAGTCTAAGAGCGGGTCCGGCCCGTGCACGACACTCTTCCTCCGAGGCCACCGTGGCCAGAGGCTGAACGGCTCTGTCCCCTGCCGCAGGCCTGTCTCTCTCACTCTGCTGTCACTTCCTTCAAACCCACATCTGGTGGCTAAGTGGGGGCTAGGCTGTTTCTGTCTACCAACCTTTTACTAGTTGCTCTGCACTGGGCGGGGTGTCTAATCTGTGCTGACCCTGGTCTATAGCTGCCCTGGGCGACACCTGGACTGGTGGACAGGAACGAAGCTATTGCTCCCAGGTCTCCCAGCTCACTCCTCGCCTCAGCCCACCGCCTCCAGGAGCGCCTCCTCCAGGCAGACAGTGCAGCACACCTGACCTGCGGGCCAGGCGCCTGGTCCTGCTGGGAGAGGCCCCAATTCCCTCCCCGCTACTGGCTTATCCAGGTGAAATCAAGGCCTTGTGGCTATTGAAACTGAAGGGGAGAGAAGAGAAAAGAGCACCTGTGGCCTCCAGGGAGGAGGGATGTGGGAGCCTTTAGGGGGGGTGGGGAACCCCTGCCAAGGGCCATTGGATATTTGTGACATCATTCTCGGGCCATACACAATTATCCACGTAAAAATGAGCCTGCTCTCTTTGGTTGAACTTTTGGTGAACTCACCCCAATGCAGGGCCAGATCAAACGACTGCGTGGGTCCCTGACGCAGGCCAGACACTCCCACCCCTGCTTTAGGGTTTCAGCTCTCAGTCACACTGCACATTAGAAAGCCCGGGGCGCCTTAAAAATACAGATGTCCAGGCACTTTGGGGATGGAGAGAGGGAGAACCTACTGAGTTTTTTTGTTTGTTTATTTTTGAGAAGCGCTAAGTATTGTTTACTCCAGGCAGCTTCGAGGGGCTGGGCATCCCTGGGAGAGGCAATTCAGGAGGCTTGCTCCGCCTGTGCTCTGAATCCAAAGGCATTTCTCCTTTGCAAATGCAACCCTCAGGGTGGCCAGGGGCAGGGAACAGACACAGGCGCGGCCTCCGATGGCTGCAGCGCTGACAGTGAGCGGCCCTGTGCTGACCTTCCCAGCGGCTGAGAGGCCAGACCCTAACGGTTCCCCTGCAGGAGAGAGGGAACAGGGGACTGGAGAGCTGCGAGGTGGTGCCGGGGGTGAGATGGCGATAGGTAAACATATCCAACCCACACCCGACACCTCAAGCCTGTATAATGGTCTGTGTCAATTACGTCTCAGAAAAAAAGTTTTTAAAACGCTGTTCGGGGCCCTCTGAGTCTGTTGCGATTCCGAGGGGCTCCTCTCTGGGGAGTGTAGTCCGGGTCTGGGGAGGGCGGTCCGGGTCTGGGGAGGGCAGCCGGGGTCTGGGGAGGGTGGCCCGGGTCTAGGAGGGCGGCTGGGGTCTGGAGAGGGAGGCCGGGGTCTGGGAGGGCGTTCGGGGTCTGGGGAGTATAGTCCGGGTCTGGGGATGGCGGGTCCGGGTCTGGGGATGGCGGCCCAGGCTGGGGAGGGCGGTCCGGTCCGGGGAGGGCGGTCTGGGTCTGAGGAGGGTGGCCCTGGTCTGGGGACGGTGGTCCAGCTGTGCCGGCCGAGACTCACCGTGTCCCTGTACTTCGAGAAGCTGAATGCCATGTTGACCCATTCCGACTTCATCTTCTCCAAGTTTTTCTCCAGGGAGTATTCTTTGCTGGCGGTGGCTCCAATGGGCTCCAGTCTGGAAGGGAGACAGGGACAGCAGCGTGACTGGAGGGAAACGGCCAAGGGGCGCTCAGCTCCCGTAGAAAAGCCGTTCAAAGCCCTGCTTCTCCTGAACTCCTCCTGGAGGACGTGCCAGCGCCCCAGGTGACCGGCTCCCGAGCCTCCGCCCTGGCATTGGGCTGTATTAGGGCTGAACTGCGGCCCCCACAGGCGTGTGTGGGGTCCTAGCCCCAGCGCCTGGGAACGGCAGGTCTCCCATCTGAAAATGGGTCTTTAGCGAGTAGTTAAGTTAAAGTGAGATTGTGAGGGCCCCGAATCTAACAGGACAGTCCTCATCAGAGGAGAAAGGACAGACACACAGAGAGGAATGACCGTGGGAATGAAAGACGTGGGGAGGGGTGGCCGCAGGCTGAGGAGAGAGGCCGCAGGAGAAAGTAAACTTACCAACACTTGGCTCATGGGCTTCGAGCCCCCAGGACGGTGAAGAAATAAATGTCTGCTGTTTGAGCCGCCCCAGCCTGTGGCATTTGTCCTAGCTGCCCCAGCCCACCACGGGAGCCACTGGTTCCATGCTGCCGGCTGTCCTGAGCATTGCAGGGTGGTAGCCACCACCCGGCCTTTACTCACGGGGCGCCACAGCCGGCTGCCCTGCCCACCTGTTGCCAGTCACGGCGACACTGTTCATCACCTGGGTGTGACTAACAGCCAGGCGCGCAGGGGGGGCACTCACACAGGCCGCCATCCACCCGGGGCCCCAGGAGGTGGCAGGGATCACGCCCAGGTCTGTTCCGCTGTCGCTGGGGCAGGGACTGGACATAGACGCATGCCCAGTGGGGAGGTGCCCACTGCCAGTCACAAGGGGAACAGGTCAGCGGCCAGAATGGGCATGGCCACTGCCAGGGCATGAAACCTAAGAGACTTCACTCCTGGACAAAGGAGCGCTCCCCCTCTCTTGCTGCTCACCCACTCCCGGCTTGCAGGCTCGCGCGCCCTGCCCTTGCCTACGCAGCCCACGTGGCCCACGCCAGGTGACCCCATGTACTGGCCTAATGGACAGTGACCAGCCTGAGGCGACATCAGGCGGCTCTGCTGGGAGGCGGCCTGGATGCTGGCTGGGCTTTCAGCTCTGCTGGAGTCCCCGCTGGCCCTGTCAGAGCTGGTCCGGGAGAGGGGACTTTGGAACCCGAGGAATGTAACTCCATGAAATAAAGTCTTCAACCACATCTCCTCCTCCCGTGGAGGCCCTGGAAATGCCTTTTCCAGCGGAGCCCCAAGGACCCCACTCCCACTAGGGACGGAGAGATGGAACTCCGGGTGACAGTAACAAATGTCCCCCGTGAGAGCCACTGTGCTAACCGGTAACGCAGATCTCCTCTCCCACGGCTGTTTCCTCCTATTGTTCCTCCTGTGCCCAGAGCTACTCTCGTCCTCCTTAGTGCATCTTGGAATTTCTGTTCATTTATGTGATGGCTTTTGCTCTACCTCCTATCCTTACCTTTAAAAAACAACTACTGCTGTTCCCCTGCTATGCTGGGTCCTCCCCCCATGGCCCTTGCTCCACGGAAAAGGGGAGGAGAGAAGGGACAGTCCACCCACCATGGCTCCTGCTCCATGGAAAAGGGGGGGGAGAGAAGGGACAGTCCACCCCTCATGGCCCCTGCTCCATGGAAAAGCGGGGGGAGAGAAGGGGCAGTCCACCCCCCATGGCCCCTGCTCCACGGAAAAGGGGAGGAGAGAAGGGACAGTCCACCCACCATGGCTCCTGCTCCACGGAAAAGGGTGGGGGGAGAGAAGGGACAGTCCACCCCCCATGGCCCCTGCTCCCGGGAAATGGGGGGAGAGAAGGGACACACTCCCTTTGTCCTGCTTCCACATGGAGGTCTGGGTCCTATGCCCCATGGTGGACAGACATTGGGAAGCCAAGTCCGTGGAGGGGAAGGAGTAACCCCTCTCACGGCCTCAGCGATGCTTTCCTGACACCCTTGACTGCAGAGGAGACCACACGGTCTTTCCTGACAGGTCAGCCCAAGGCCCCAGCTGGGGAGCCTGAGCCAGGCCTAGACGCTGGGTACTCTGACCCCTAACTGGCGTTTCCTCCTCGCACACTGTGGCGTCTACCCTCTCAGCCAAAGGGGGCCACTAACTAGAGCTGAGGCCCAGATAACGCTGGACAGTGACCGAGGCCCTCCGCAGCACGGCCAGCATCCTGAATGCCTTCTTGGGAGACGGCCACAGTGAGTGTGCATTTAGGGCATAATTCACAAAGGCGGTGCCAACCCCCATGAGTATGAGAAGCAGAGGCTGGCTGTGTGGCTGTGACCACGCCCCTCGAAAGGCCTTAGGTCCCATCTGTCCAAATGAGGGGTTGCTGGTGAAATGAAATAATATAAAATGCTTGCAAACCATCTGACTTTTACTTATGCAAATAATTGCACAGGCGAGGGATTAACCAGCTTGGGAGTCCATGAAGTCTATCAAGAATTGACTGTACCCAGCTCAGCAGGCGTAGCTCAGTGGTTGAGCATTGACCTATGAACCCAGAGGTCATAGTTCAATTCCTGGCCCAGGCACATGCCCGGGTTGTGGGCTCGATCCCCATTGCGGGGTGTGCAGGAGGCAGCTGATCAATGTTTCTCTCTCATCATTGATGTTTCTATCTCACTCTCCCTTAATAAATCAAATCAATAAAAATATCAAATTAAACAAAATATATATAAAAAGGACTGACCTCACCCAAGTGTGCTAAAGCAGCTCCTGGCGTGGGCTGTGGCAGAGTGCACGAGTGCACAACAGCGGGACCAGGAACCACCACGCCTCAGGCAGATGGTTCGGTTACCTGCCCATCTCATCACCTCGCAGCAACGCTAGTCACCTGTCTACAGGCAAGGGGACGAGGCACAGAGGCCAACTACGTGGCAGGTGTCGGCACAGCTAGATGTGCCACAGCTGGATGCTGGCGTGAGGGGCAGAGTCGCGGCGTATCTGCTCAGACTGCCTCCTTCCAGGGGCTTGCTTTGCAGGTGAAGGGAGTGGCTAACTGGGCTCCAGGCGTGGTTCTCTCAGTGACTAGCTGTGACCTCTGACTAGTTATGGACTCTCTAGTCAATTTATTTCTTCCTCCGTAAAATGCAAATAATATTAACTAGAATAGGTGGTTGTTGTGATGGTAGGTTGGTTAATATTTATCCATGCTTGGTGCAGCATAAATGTGCAACAGCTGGTATTTCTTGGAAACACTTTACTGAGGGAAACCACTGGGGCTCACCGAACCTGGCTGAGCTGGCGCTGCAGCAATGCTGGTCCTGGGGGCTCTGTTCCGGCTCTGGCGAGTCCAGTGACCGGGCGTGGCCTCCCAGGAGATGGGCTCACAAATCCCAGCTGGGCGGGCCATGGTGGGTGTCACTCCCAGGCCCTGACTGCTTCAGTGACAGGCTGACCTTTGTCCTAAGTAGGCCCCGCCCAGTTTCTGAGCACCCAGGGCAATGCCTTTGAAATGCCTACTCAAGTGCATCCCCTCAGGACAGCGGAGCCTGACTGTCCCGTCACTGACCGCCTTGCTCCCTTCCCCTCTACGCAGCGCCCCGTGTCGCCTCCTAATTCCACGAGCACAAATGCAGCTGCAAATCTCCTGCTGGGGGCATTTTCTCAGTCTGTCCAGGTCTTGCTTCCAGGCGTGCCCTCTGTTTGGCTCAGATAAACTCTAATCAACTCTTACAATAAACCCTTACACTGACGGTTGCCAGCGTGACAGTTGCCAGGGGCATCGGAACATTCGGGAGGCAGAGACCCTTGGGGGCCTGGGAGCACCTTGGAGGGTGGGTGCTCCGTGTGGGGAGGGAGTCTCAGTCCAGCAGGTGTCACAATTGCCCGGAACAGCCTTGCCCATCCCAGATATAATGAGAACCAGTATGTCACTTTAAAGTTAAAAAAGTAAAAAGAAACAAGTGAAATTAATTTTAATAAATTATTTTCTGTATCGCAATACATCTAAATATCTTCCTAACACACTCCATTTTAAAACTTATTAGTTTGCACTGTTTTTCTTAGTGAGTTTGATATCAGCCTGTATTTTATACCTCCAGTACATCTAATTCAGAATCACTCCATCTCAAGGGCTCAATTGCTATCTGTGGCTAGTGGCTCCCCCACAGACAGTACTGACTGGGACTGTTGCAAGACCACCCCCCAAATTTCTGATTTGCAGACACGGGTGGGCATAGGGATATGCATTCCTAACTAGCCCCCAGGTCCCGACAGTGCAGCTGGACAACATCCTGGGAACCATGTGTACAGGTTAGACCTGAACCCAGCTGCCTGACAGTCCTCTGCAGCCCAGGACATGCAGCGCCTCCTCATCCGTCACCCTGAGTGTGGAGACACTAACAGGGTCCTGAGAATCTCTGGTACTAAACATAGCAATTCACACAGTACACATCCTCCCTCACACGTACACATCCTCACTCGCACGCACACGTCCTCACTCGCACGCACACGTCCTCACTCGCACGTACACAGCCTCACTCACACAGTATACAGCCTCACTCGCACGTACACAGCCTCACTCACACGTACACATCCTCACTGACACAGTACACATTCCACTCACACGTACACATCCTCACTCACACGTACACAGCCCCACTCACACGTACACATCCTCACTCGCACGTACACAGCCCCACTCGCACGTACACAGCCTCACTCGCACGTACACAGCCTCACTCGCACGTACACAGCCTCACTCACATGTACACATTCTCACTGACACAGTATGCAATCTCCAGGGCGTTTGGAGGAGGAGTGTGAGCATGTGACTCTGTTTTTTGACCAGGTTCCATGGAACTTAGCGGGAAGAGAGCCACCTCTGATTGTTGTTGTTGGGTAAAGAGGGTGATACTGAGGCCCTCACACGTACACATCCTCACTCACACGTACACATCCTCACTCACACGTACACATCCTCACTCACACGTACACATCCTCACTCACACGTACACATCCTCACTCACACGTACACATCCTCACTCACACGTACACATCCTCACTCACACGTACACATCCTCACTCACACGTACACATCCTCACTCACACGTACACATCCTCACTCACACGTACACATCCTCACTCACACGTACACATCCTCACTCACACGTACACATCCTCACTCACACGTACACATCCTCACTCACACGTACACATCCTCACTCACACGTACACATCCTCACTCACACGTACACATCCTCACTCACACGTACACATCCTCACTCACACGTACACATCCTCACTCACACGTACACATCCTCACTCACACGTACACATCCTCACTCACACGTACACATCCTCACTCACACGTACACATCCTCACTCACACGTACACATCCTCACTCACACGTACACATCCTCACTCACACGTACACATCCTCACTCACACGTACACATCCTCACTCACACGTACACATCCTCACTCACACGTACACATCCTCACTCACACGTACACATCCTCACTCACACGTACACATCCTCACTCACACGTACACATCCTCACTCACACGTACACGTCCTCACTCACACGTACACAGCCTCACTCACACGTACACAGCCTCACTCACACGTACACATCCTCACTCACACGTACACGTCCTCACTCACACGTACACAGCCTCACTCACACGTACACAGCCTCACTCACACGTACACATCCTCACTCACACGTACACGTCCTCACTCACACGTACACAGCCTCACTCACACGTACACAGCCTCACTCACACGTACACATCCTCACTCACACGTACACGTCCTCACTCACACGTACACAGCCTCACTCACACGTACACAGCCTCACTCACACGTACACATCCTCACTCACACGTACACGTCCTCACTCACACGTACACAGCCTCACTCACACGTACACAGCCTCACTCACACGTACACAGCCTCACTCACACGTACACATCCTCACTCGCACGTACACAGCCCCACTCACACGTACACATCCTCACTCGCACGTACACAGCCTCACTCACACGTACACAGCCTCACTCGCACGTACACATCCTCACTCACATGTACACATTCTCACTCGCACGTACACAGCCTCACTCGCACGTACACATCCTCACTCGCACGTACACAGCCTCACTCGCACGTACACAGCCTCACTCACATGTACACATTCTCACTGACACAGTATGCAATCTCCAGGGCGTTTGGAGGAGGAGTGTGAGCATGTGACTCTGTTTTTTGACCAGGTTCCATGGAACTTAGCGGGAAGAGAGCCACCTCTGATTGTTGTTGTTGGGTAAAGAGGGTGATACTGAGGCCCCCTAAGGGTAAGCGGGTGTACCAAAGTCAGCCTGAGGGAAGCGGGCTCTGAGCTCTGGTTCAAGAAACTTTTAACCTAAATTTCTCTTTGAACTAAAAATTTTCAAGTCAGTAAAAGGAAAGGTCCTCCTGGCCACTTACCAGAGGGTAGGCTGCCCTCATGTCCAGGGGGCAGGAGGGAGCCGCCTGCGGGAGGCAATTGGGGGTTGGGGGTGGGGGGTTCACAGGCCCTCTGATCACTCACTCCCTGAAGAAAGGGGCACCTTACTTGTCAATGAATTTGTTGAATCCATATTCCAGCATATTGGCCAGGCATGTTGTCTCCGTGGGCTTTATTTCACAGCCGACAAGCTCACTAATCTGCAAAGAGATGAGAGTCCGTGTTTATGGTCACGCCAGCGCTGCCCAGTCGACATGGGAGGAGGGAAGTACTCCTGCCCCCTGGCCCCTTCCCGCAGCCACAGGCACTGCTGAGCCGGAAGTGTGCCTGGTTGGCCTGGATGGATTTTCCCATTTAATGTAACATGTTCAAATAGCTGCTCGTAGCCAGTGGCTGCAGAATGGGCGGTGCCGTCTAAGGATCTGGGCAGCCAGGGCCCCCCCTGCGGTCTATCTGCTTTCCTGGGCGCTGGTCTGGCGCCAGCACTGGGCGCTGGGCAGCCCTGGAGTGTCTTAGGGGGTGGGACTGTGTGATTCTAGGGCCTCATGCAAAGCCTGGCCTGTGACAGAAGCCGGGGCTTGCTGAACAGAAGGAGCAAGTCCTGAGACCAGGTGACAGGCAGCCCGAGGACGCGAGGACGAGAGGATGCAGAAGGAGGCAGCCGTCCTCTACGGTACCTCCCCCGTCCCAGGTGCTAACTTGCTGGAAACCGTAGCAGTGTTTTCTTTGTTGTAAGCACTACCCTCCACGCAGCTTTTAGTGACCACATCCCCAGGGAAGCTGTTCAGCAAAGTCTCTGGGGCGTTGGGCACCTTCTCAGGAAGTGTGAGGCCTGAGCAGTACCAGGTGGAGGTGGGAGGCTCGGGGACCCCCCGCCTCCCCAACCAGGTTTGTCACTGTCCAGCACCACCGTCCCCAAGGCTACAAATGTCAGAGCAGGAAGGGGTGAAGCTGTGCCATGTTCTGTCTATTCCGCCTGAGCCCCTGGGCCTGGCATGTGTAGCATCAGTGACCGGCTATGGGTGAGGGCATGAGTGTGCCAGCGCATGCAGGTGGCTCCCACCTGGGCTCTGAGGACACAGAGGGCCACTAGAACGATGGGAATAAGAAGGTAATTAACATTGATTGAGCGGTCACTCTGTATGGGACTGTTTTAAGACTGTTATGTGCTTATTTCATTCTCCCAACACCACGAGGAAGGCTCTAATGCAGCCGTGGGCAAACTACGGCCCGCGGGCCGGATCTGGCCTGTTTGAAATGAATAAGACGAAAAAAAAAAAAAAAAAAAAGACTGTACCCTTTTACGTAATGATGTTTACTTTGAATTTATATTAATTCACACAAACACTCCATCCATGCTTTTGTTCCGGCCCTCCGGTCCAGTTTAAGAGCCCATTGTGGCCCTCGAGTCAGAAAGTTTGCCCACCCCTGGTCTAATGTATTACTATCCCCGTTTTACAAATCAGGAAACTATGTCAAGGAAATTAAGTATCTTGTCCATGACCATCAGCTCGTAAATGGTGGAACTGGGACCTGGCTCCATTCTGACTCCAAGGCTCTTACCCATCTCCCTCGGGGCTTCCATGTACCGCGGTGCAGGTTACTCGCTGCAGAAGGCGAGAGCGCAGCCCACACCGCGTGCGCACCCCGCATCCGGAGGCGGCCCTGCGGGCCCTGCTCGTGCCTTCGGAGCTTAGAGCGCGCTGTTCCCTGGACTAAGTGACAGCTGCACAAAGCACCTGGCATAGTACTTGGCCTCGAACCCTCGGAGATTGGTCGTTTTATTACTTAAATCGCGTTGTGAACTATGTCAATGAACAAGTGTCCAGTGTGCTAGTCCAAGAGCCCAGAATTGTGCTGTCCCATCCGGAGCCAGGGCCCTGGTGAGCTAGTCTGAGTGGAGGTGCTGTGAGTGGGGAGCACACCACGTTTCAGACTCAGCATGGAAAAGGTCCTGTGAAATACCTTAACATTTTTATGTTGATTACCTGTTGAAATGACAATATTTTGGTTAAGTTTGGTGAAATAAAATTTATTCATGAAATTTATTTAGCCTGTTTTTGCTTTTAAAAATGTGGCTACTGCCCTAGCTGGTTTGGCTCAGTGGATAGAGCAGCGGCCTGCAGACCAAAGGGTCCCAGGTTCGATTCCAGCCAAGGGCACATACCCGGGTTGTGGGCTGGATCCCCAGTAGGGGGCATTCAGGAGGCAGCCAATCAATGATTCTCTCTCATCATTGATGTTTCTCTCTCTCTCTCTCCCTCTCCCTTCCTCATTGAAATCAACAAAAATATATTTAAAAAAATAAAAATGTGGCTACTAGAAACTAAAAATTACACAAATGTTCACATTCTATTTCTATGGCAGCACTGCCCATCGGGCCAGCCCTGCTGCTCCTCAGTGGGGTTTCTTCCCAAGGCCAAGTTCGGCCTGTCCCATCTCGTTTAAACTGTTGCGGCAACCACTGTGCGGATAGCAGCAAAGTCTGGGCCCCAAACATAGGACCAGCCTTTCTGCCCAAGTCCTGTGAAATGGCCACCCCAGAGCCCAGCCTGAGAGCTACAGGCGGTTTAGCCTTCCCCTGCCAGAACCAGAGTCAGCGGACGGGTCTCCTGAGTTAGGCCTGGGCTGTCAGGGGAGGCTCAGGGTATGACCAGCAATGCAGGCAGGAAGGGGCTGGGCCGGGGACAGCCTGAGTCTACCTGGTTGCCTGTGTTCTTTCTGAGCTTGCCCACTGGGCTGCCCCATCAGGGTCCTTCCTCTGCAGCCACTCCCCGGGTCACACACCACTGTCACCCACAGCTCACAGCCCCCACATCCCATTCCCTCTCATCTGCTACTTCTTGCTCCCTTTTTACCTGTCCAGGCTGAGCTAGAGACCAATTCTCCCCTCCTTACTTCCTAGCCACGTGGCAACTTAATCTCTCTAAGACTTAGTTTTCTTATCTGGGAAGTGGAGATAATCATAGTCCCTATGTCAAAGGGTTGCTGGGAGGGTGACATGAGAGGGTCCACATGAAGTATGCAACACAGAACCCAGTAACACCTGGCATTCAATATGGCTTAGCCACTGTTGTTGTGCGATTAATGTTGCTACTGTTATGAATCGTAATGTAAATATCTGATGTGCAGGATGGTCTTAGGAGGCCCCTGTGAAAGGGTCGTTTGACCACCAAAGGGGTCGCGACCCACAGGTTGAGAACCGCTTATCTAGGTGGTCTACAATGAGGATTATGATTGTCGGGGAGCGGTCTGTATTTCAATGCGCAAGAGCAGCATCCTCACAGGTGTAGCACCAGTGGAGGGGTGGATCTCTCAGGGCCCTGAGTGTTGTCTAACCACCATTGGCATTGATGAGGGCGCTTTCTATGGTGCCATCTCATGAAGAGACCTAGCCCTGCTCCCCCTCCCAGGCCTCCAATGGTCAGTTCTAGTCAGGCTAGGTCCACAGGGAGAGGCACCCTCTGAGCACCAAGGAAGGCAGCTGTCCTCTGTAGACCCCGCTGCTGGGGCAGATCAAGACCAGAAACCTACTCAGATGACCTCTCCTCTGCCCCTCCTTACATCCCTGCCTTAGGACATCTGGAGCTTGAAGGCTCCTGGGAAATGGAAAGCAGCTACCCTCCACAGAACACTCCTGGATCTCTCAGGCGTTCAGATCTCTGTTTTCCCAGGGAGGTCAAAATGCTCCCAGCAACTGCACTAGGGCATCATCCTGTGCAAGTCATGGGTGTGCCCTCAGAGTGGGACCTTCTGAGGACGATGTCCTCCGTCTTGTGTGTCCCGAGAGGGGGAATTCCAGGCCAAGTCAGAGCGCAGTCTGCCTATGGGCACCCATCTCCGCCTCCACACAGAGCAGCCTCCACACAGAGCAGCTCCCGCGTTGAGTCTGCTCAGGGCATTGCTAGCCTTGCATAGGATCATTATTACAGGAACAGTGCACGTTCCTTTCCTCTGGTTAGTGTTCACACCACACTTATCACCCTCACACTTGGTTGCTTATAAAAATCCCAACTATTTTTAAGAAGGTCGTTTGTTATTCTCATTTATAGACTCAAAGGGCTGAAAGAGGAATGGACGCTTGTTTCTGAGCATAGCCTGTTGGATGCCGGAGCTCCAGCACGGTCAGCGCAAGCAGGAGTCCCAGGAAGGGATGCGGATTTCTCTTCTGTGTAGCCTAGGTCGAGGAGCAAAGCGAGGCCGCGGCCACTGCACTTCAATACCCTTGTCCCCTGTAGAACCTGGAGCAGCTCTTTGCCAAGAAAGGAGATAAGGAGAGCCTGCATGGCCACGGGCTGAAACAGCACTCAACTACCGGCAACGGGGTTCCCAAAGCACAGGGAGACCTGCTCATGCGGAAGGCAGTGCATCCCTTACCCTGCCCATTCCCTTATGTCAAAAGGCTCTCACCCCCTTCCTACCCCCTTGGCTTCCAGTAGATTCTCCTTTCAGAAAAAGCTTGACCTGGGAATGGTTCCTGCCTTCTCGGGGCTACCAGGACCAGGAATAGGCTGGGCAGGGGGTGGGCAGTGACAGGACCTGTTGCCAGTGCCGCTCCTTCATTCCTGGGTTACAGGAAATGTTGAGAATAGGGATGTGCTGCTTGAACTTGTCAATCTTCATCCTCACGTTCTCGGCCAAGCGTCTGGGTGCAGGTATGTCAGCTAAGGTCTTGGTCAATTTGTACATCGTCCTCCACATATTCCCTACTTCCTCCGCAATCTCCTCAGCGTTCAGCCCAAAGAGGGGCCCTGGAATAAAAAAGACGGATGGGGGGAAGGGTCAGATCCCCAAGCAGATGTCAGCCACGTGCACCTTTAATTCCCTGAGCTCAGAACTGGGCCTGTGGGGCGGGTACTGGAGCAAGCACAGGCCTGGCCTGGAGTTGGGTCTGCGTCTGAAACGTTGTCTTTGCCAGTAAAACGAGCAGGCTTACTAAACTTTCTGAAGCTTTGAGCGCATCGCCTGTGAAACAGGGTGACCGTGGAAGTGAAGTGAGGTAAGCACAGTGGCTAACCTGCCCTGCCGTGCGGTGCAACGTGGACAGGGAACTGGTGTTGGCACTGGCTATAGATGCTCCACAAATGCTGAGAAACAGCAGCCACTGGAGAATGTGGGTGAATGCAAGCGGGGGTTCTCTGTACAGTTTTAGCAGCTTCTATGTAAGCTTGAAATTCTTTAAAAATAGATTAGTTTGAAAGAATGAAACGTCATTTTTTTTAAAAAGGACCCCCAAGCATTAATTTCCTTCTCTGCCTTTTCTCTTATAGTGACCCTTTAGCAGGTTACACATTCAGTCAAAATCTTGCATGATGTGGCTTCCTTCCCCTTCAATCTTTCAAGTTAGTATGAATTCTTGCATCATGATGTTGCAAATGTACTCAAAAACTTTTCTTTGAAGGCTACTGAGACTAAACATAGCTTCGTGGATATAGCTCCATTAATTGCTAACATGCTTCATCAACCCAACATTTTTGTTAACTAATCAAAAATTAAAAATTTTAAAAAAGACAGAAAAAATGTACATGAGTTCCATGTAATATGTAAAAAGAATAATATACCATGTCTAAGTGGGCTTTGTTGTGGGAATGCAAGGCAGGTTTCATATTTTAAAAGCAAACAATGTAATATACCATATTAACACTCTAAACAAGGAAAATCATGTGATAACATCAGTTGATGCAGAAAAAGCATTTGACAAAATTCAATATCATTCATGCTAAAAGCCTCTCAACAGACCAGGAATAGAAGGGAACTTCCTTAGTCTGATAAAGGGTAACTGTAAAAAGCTACACTAATGTTATACTTTTATATTAATTAAATATATACAGCTTTTTACATGTTAATCATACTGCCATCAAGTGGTTTTAAAAAATAAAACAAAACAACCCATTTTACTTAATGGTAGAAGATGGAATACTTTTTCCCTCACAGGAAGAAGGCAAGGATTTCACTCTCATAAATCAATAACAGAAAGCTAGCTGGTAAAATCCCAAAATACTTTGAAATTAAACAATGTAATTATAAGTAACACAGGTCAAAGACAAAATCTCAAGAGAAGTTAAAAAATATTTTTAGCCAAAGAAAAAGAAAACATAACTCATCAAAAGTTGTATACAGAAGAGAAAATTAAATCCAAAGCAAGCAGAAAAAAGAAATAATAAAACAAAAAGCTGGTTCTTTGAAAATATTAATAAAATTAATAACCTCCACCCAGGCTAACCAAGAAAAAGACACAAATTATTGATATCAGAATGAAAAAGGGAACATCAATGCACATCTCAGGAACATTAAAAGGATAATTAAGGAATATCCTGAACTTCATGACCACAAATTTCATAACCTAGATGGAATGGACCAATTCCTTGAAAGATACAATTTACCCAAACTCACACAAGAAAAAACAGACAATCTGAATAGGCCTGTATCTATTTAATAAATTGAACAATAGTCAATAACTTTCCAAAACAGAAAGCACCAGGCCCAGATGGGTTCACTGGTGAATTCTACCAATCATTTTAGATAAAAATGATGCCAATTTTCTACAATCTCTCCCAGAAGGCAGAAACAGAGGAAATACTTCCTAATTCCTTCTATGAAACCAGCATTACCCTAATACCAAAACAGACAAAAACATTAACATAAAAGGAAATTAAAGACCAATATCTTTCATTAATATAGATGCAAAATCCCCAACAAAATATTAGCAAATTGAATCTAATAATATATGAAATAGAATTATATACCACAATAAGTTGGGATTTATTATTCCAAGTATGTAAAGCTGTTTCAACATTTGAAAAATCAATTAATGTAACCTATCTCATCAACAGGCTAAAGAAGAAAAATTACATGATGATACCAATAGATTCAGAAAAAGCATTTGACAAAATCCAACACCCATTCATGATAATCATTCTTAGCAAAGGAGAAATAGAGGGGATTTCCTTGACTTGATATAAAGAACATATACAAAAAACCTACAGCTAAAATCATACTTAATGATAAGACACTACAATCTTTCCCACTACAATCAGGAACAACGCAATAATGTCCCCTTTAACCATCCTTTTCAACATCATTTAATGAAAATCCTAGCCAGTGCAAAGATAAGGATAGGAGGTATAAGGTATGCAGATTGAGAAGGAAGACGTGCAACTGTTTGCCACCGACACAATCTTTTATATAGAAAATCTGAAAGAATTAAAAAAAACCCACTCCTGGAACTAATTCACAGTTATAGCAAGGTTGCAGGATACAAGGTTAATATATAAAACTCAATTGCTTTCTTTTTTATTTTTAATTTATTAATTTTTAAGGGGGTGAGAGAGAAAGAGGGAGAGAGGGAGAGAAGAAGGGAGAGAGAGACATTGATTTGTTGCTCCTGTTAGGTACAACACTAATTCATTGGTTGATTCCTGTATGTGCCCTGAATGTGGGTTAAACCCTCAACCTTGCCATATAATGATGAACCTCCAACCAACTTAGCTACCTAGCCAGGGCTGCTTTCCTTTATACCACTAGTGAACAAATGGATCAATTTAACAGAATAGAGAGCCCAGAAATAGACCCATATATAGTCAGCTGACATTTCTGGAAGGATAAAAGGTAATATAATGGAGAAATAATAATTTTTCAACAAACAATGTTAGAACAACTGGATATTCACAAGCAAAAAAATGAATCCAGATGCAGACCTTATACCTTTCACAAAAATTAACTCAAAATGGATAATTGACTTAAGTGAAAAATGTAAAACTATAAAAATTCTAGGAGATAATTTAGATGACCTGTTAGGTACAACACTAAAGGCAGGACATATGAAAGATGACAAGCTAGGCTTCATCAAAATTAAAAACTTCGGTTCTGTGAGGACGCTGTCAAAAGAACCAAAAGATAAGCCAAAGACAAGGACTCTGGTGTTTAGTGACAGCAGTATCTACCAGCTTGCCTAGGCTGAGAGTATGGAAGTCATCCTGGCCCTTCATTCTCCCTGTCTGTCCCCTTGCCCCATATCAGATCAACCAAGTTCTGTTGGCTCTACCTTCTCAATATCTCTCCTATCTCAATAGTTCTAGAGTAAAAGGAGTAGTTTATAGATGCCTATGGCACGTTGGCCTTTTTTTTTTTTGCAACAGCACACTAATAGAGCCACTATTTTGTTCTCCCACCTTCTACCTCTCTGAGTCACTACCCAATTCATGTCTCTGGATGGTTGCCTATTTGGCTTTACCCTGGCAATAGGTCTGGCTCTTTGATCCCCACCTTCCATCATTATCATATCAGAAAAATTGATTGTGGCTGCCTTCATCCAGAGCATCAGAATATGTTGCAAAGTCCAGCCAGAATTCGAAGATCAAACTTTATTTCAGAACTGGCTAGGGTGGACCCTTACTCCATCCCCACCCTGCCCCAGCACAGGTGGACTGCGGCATACCGTTCATCCACTCCTCTGACTTGATGCTGAACTCATAGGTCGTCACCCACAGCTGTTCGTAGGGTACTTTGTGGGTCATCACGGTTTGCAGAAGAGGGAAGGTACTCTTCTCCTTTCCCAACAGCTCCTCCTCCTTATTGATCAACTGCAGGCAAAGGGGGATATTGTCTATTAGTTGGTGGTTCTCCTGACCCCCACAAGCCACCCCGGCAAATTCTTCAATGTTTTGAACACCAAGTTGAGGAAGATGCTTATTAGCAAGAGAGAAAAATAAGGCGTGGACTCAATCAAGAAGACCCCTCTGTACCTGTGAGGGCCATGGCAGCTGAGGTCTAGTTGGGTGAACCTCTAGGATAATTTGCTACTTGCTTCACCAGCTTTGTTCCCACTGTGACATATCTATAGCTCTATTTCCACAGTTTCCATGTGTACATTTGCTGTTTACATGATGCTGCCTTCTTGTGTCAACTTGCCTCAGAGGTAAGAACTTTCATAGTTAGGGAACTTACTAGTGGAGCCCAGCCAGCTTGGCTCAGTGGTTGAGCATCGACCTATGAACCAGGAGATCATGGTTCGATTCCCAGTCAGGGCACATGCCCAGGTTGTGGGCTTGATCCCCAGTAAGGGTTGTGCAGGAGGCAGCCGATCAATGATTCTCTCTCATCATTGATGTTTCTATCTCTCCCTTCCTCACTGAAATCAATAAAAATATATATATTTTAAAAAATAACTTACTAGTTGACCTTCAGGAGAAGTTACTTAGCTTCTCCAAGTCTTAGTTCTCTCATTTTAAATTAAGATAAATGGAGGTAATAACAGTACCTACCTCAGAGGTTTGTTATGGGCATTAAGTGATACAGTCCATATGAAGCCCTTTGTACATTGTTGAGCACATACTGAATGCTCAATATATCTGAGCAATTATTCTATTATAATTTCTTCTCTGTCTACTCAATGACTAACAACAAAAAAAAACTAGTATAATGTAGGAGTGTAGAAAAAGGTAGCTGAAAGTACCAATGAAAGAACTGGTCAATCAATCAATCAATTAATCAGTCAATCAGTGCTACCCAGCTGACAGGTGATGTTAGAAAAATACAAGACCAAGGACCAGAACCAACAGAATAGTAGAGTCATAGTCCCCATCCCAAGACTCCGAACCTCAAATTCCACCAGCGCCTGATCAAGGTTCTTGGAAAGCTCGTTAAGCTTTTCAACATTGTTCTTCATTTCTTCCGTAGACATCACTTCACGTTTTCTAAAGCCTTCTAGTTCCTTGTTGTAGCCCTCAAGTTTCGACTCAAATTCTAAGCACCTGAAAGTAAAGATAGCCCACTGATATTTGGACTTTTCATTTTGTGATTTTCAAAGTCACAGCATTGTTCACCCAAAATCCAATTTCCTGATACAAGATACATATACTATACTACTTATAATCCCACCTCCCAGAGATGCTGATGGAAACTGTGTTTGGTGGTTAAATACTTTTAGATGTTTTCCTGTACAGGTATATGTATATGTATATGTATATGTATATAACTTACTATATATATACTAGTATACATTATGTGAGCATAACACATTATTCTTTCATTACATACTTATTATTGAGTGCCTACTACATTCCAAGAACTGATCTAGGCATCAGGGCTATATTAATGAAGTACACTGTTACGCTCCCTACCTCCATGGAATTTGTATTTTAGTTGGAGAAGACCTGGACAACAAACATACATGGATGGATGGATGGATGACTGGATAAAACCATACATAGAAAAAGATGAAATATTACTGATAGGGCCAAATACTCTGAAGAAAGAAAAGGGGGCAGAGTGACCAGTGAATGGGCGTGAAGGGCTGCTTTAGCCGAGTGACCAGGGAAGACTTGTCCAGAGGTGTGTCTCCTTCATCTATATCATCAACAAGCAGATCTTAACTTTACTTCTGCCTTTTCCTGACGAGGTAGAATAATACGGAGTTCAGTGGACAGGTTCTAGAGTGAGACAGGCTAGGTTCAAATCCCAACTTTGCCACTTAGTAGCCATGTGACCTTGGCTAGGTCACTTAACCTCTGTGTACCTCAGATATATAAAATGGGACCAGAAAAGTTCCATTTTAGTATTTAATAAGATAATATATATACAAAATGCTCATAATTGAGCCTGGTCTATAATCATCACTATACAAGTATTTGCTGTCACTCACTAAATTGTAAACTCTATCAATGCAGATTCATCCCCTTAATTCCTGTTTGTATCTCCAGTATTAAGAAGAGTGTCTGGCACACAAAAAATAATCAATATTAATGGAACGAATAAGAGACAGACCATTGAGAACAGCTGTAGTGACATACATTAATTTGGCTATTATCTTAAGAAAACTTAATTCTGTTATGACAGTTTTAATGTTCTTTTTTTCTTAAAAGTAATTTATGAAAGTTAATTTGGGTTTTATTTCTAATTGAACTGTGTGGTAAGCAGCCTCTGATAATGTCCCCATAGATCCCCATGACCTCCTGGTATTTATCCCTGTGCAATTGTCTCCTCTTGAGTTTGGGCTCAAGTAACTCACTTCTAACAAATAATATGGCAAAAGAGATGAGATGTCACTTCCAAGTAGGTGACAAAAAGACTATGATCTCTCTTCTCTATTCTCTTTCTCTCTCTCTCTCTCTCTCTCTCTCTCTCTCTCTCTCTCTCTCTCTCTCTCTCTCTCTCTCTCTCTCTCTCTCTCTCTCCCTCTCCCTCTCCCTCTTCCTTCCTCCTCCCACTCCCCCCTGACCCTTTGGGAAGCCAGCTGCCATGCAAGCTGCTCTATGTAGAGGCCATGTAGCAAGGAACAGAGGGCCGTTTCTGGCCAACAGCCGTGAGGAACTAAATCTACTCACAGGCACGTAAGTGCGCCTGGAAGTGGATCCTCACCCGTTGAGCTCCTGGCTGGGAAGGCAGCTTGGCTGACCTTCTGGCTTCAACCTCATGACAGACTTGGAGCCAGAGGCACCCAGCTCAGCTGTGTCTGCGTGTCTGACCCACAGCCCTGTGAGATGATATAAGTTTGTATTTTAAGCTCCTAGTTTGGGGATGATTCTTCATGTGGCAATAGATCACTGATACTATCATAACAGGATATGGCCTATATAATTCCTGTTTCTTTAAAGTTTTTCTCAAGTTCTAAAATATGGTCAATTTTTAAAAAATATTCTATGGACAGTTAAAAAGAATGTTCTGTTTTTATTGTAAGGTAGAAAGTTTGGTATGTATACAACAAATCAGAGTTATTGTTTACTTCTATTTATGTCCTTATTCAAGTTTCACTCTATTCATTTATTTTTAAGTAGGGGCCCAGTGCATGAATGCATGCACCTTGAAAGGAACTATGGGCTGCAAGGCTGCAGTGGGCACAGGGGCGGGTCGTGGCCCATCCTCCACGCCTGCACCCAGCCCCTCCTGCTGCAGCCCCTGGTGCTCTGTCTGCCAGCAGCCCCGCCCCCACTGCCACTGCTCCCACACGCTGATGGTGCTAGCCCTGCTCACACCTGCTGATGGTGTGGAGCGATTGTGGCTGGTGCCAGCAGTGGGTGTGAGTGGGGCCGGTGCTGGCAGCAGATGTGAGCAGCGACTGCTACCCTGATTGCCCCTCAGGAGCAGGGGAATGTGGAGAAGCCCTCAGGGGTAATTGGGGCTGGCAACCACTGCTTGCATCCGCTGATGGTGCCGAGAGATTGGGGCCAGCGCTGGGTGGTGGCAGAGGGTGCGAGCAGCGGCTCTGGCACCAGCAGTGGGTGTGAGCAGGGCAGGCGCTGGCAGCAGGTGTGAGCGCTGGGTGGGACCGTGGTACATGGGAGCAAAGAATTTTCAGTAACCTCCAGAGGCTCACCCCAATGACAGCAACCGGCACCCAGCCTAGGTCTGGCACGCCTGCTTACCTGCTCCACCATCCCACTGCGACTGACACCCGCCATGTTCCGCATGCACCCCCTGGTGATCAGGGCACATCATAGCGACCAGTTGTTTGGTTGTTCGGTTGTTCCACCGTATGGTCTATTTGCATATTAGAGTGTTATATATAAAGATTATTTATTTAGAATATTTGATATATAAAGGTTAATAATGCTTTAACTTTTTTTTTAATCTAAGTAACCATCTTGGAACATGAATATCTTTGCCTTGATATTAATATCACTTGTTCTCCTTGCTTTTTCATCATATTTTCATACTATACTGCTGAAAACACAAGTTTCCTCTTGTGGGGGGCCACTGTTAGGCACAACGGGCATTATTAAATATACTAGAGGCCCGGTGCACAAAAATTTGTGCACTCGGGGGGAAGGGGGTGACCCTCAGCCCTGCCTGTGCCCTCTCGCAGTCTGGGACCCCTTGGGAGATAACGACCTGTTGGCTTAGGCCTGCTCCTGGGTGGCAGAGGGCAGGCCCAATCCCTAGGTGCAGCCCCTGGTCGGGCTCAGAGCAGGGCCGATTGGGGAGTTGGGGCG